ATACCCAAATATTCGAACGCCGTTTCGTCATCCGGCTGGACGCTGCTGGTTTGACGTATTGCCGTTATCGGACTTTCCAACGGTTTTGCAATTGCCCGATGTCAGTTATTAACGACCGATTACGCGTGCAAACATACGCATATCGCGCGTGCGAACACATATCCCACATTCATGCGTGGCGCGCGCCTGTGATTTGGATAAGTTACATCGCTCTCGTGAATGATAAACATGTGGGAGGAGACACAATCGCGCGAATTTCAATATCAATAATTCTAAATCGTATCAAATTGATTCTTGTTTTATCGATGTTTCATTTTTGTGTATATATTTAATAAATCGGCTTTAATTAATAGAAATATTCTTACCTTTTTAATCAATATATATCGCAGTATCTAATTGCAAAAGTTTGACACCACACGCGGTTATAACTACGTGGAAAAAAATTAAAAGAGATATAATTCAATGTAGTATTTAAAAATACGCGATACATGTATAATCTAATATTTATATACACAATTATACGTTCCCCGAGACGGTTCCCGTTGATACGCGTCACGCGATCTTCTGATGGAAAATATGTTAAAAATTTTGCTATTTGAAAAAAGTTTGGTATCATCAGATTAGAGTAGCATGATGCGCAAGAGCTATTTATTGCAATAGATATATTATGTTTTCATCATTCCTTTTCGGATCTTCCTCATCATTGCGCGTTGAAGTGAAAGGAACGGAGTAAATCCTGGTCGATCGTTGCATCAGAATAGAGCTGATGAAATTTTAAATCAACATGAGACGAAAGCAAGGAAAGCAGTTTGGTGGGAGCGATAGTTCTTTTGAGAGATAAAGTCTAGCCGGCGACGCAATTAAAAATTAAATGAAATGTGAAAGTTGTATTAATGTCTTACATGTAGAAACAGAGAGAGAGAGAGAGAGAGAGACAGAGAGAGAGAGAGAGAGAGAGAGACTTAAAAGTGTAACAATGATATTTGATTGCGACCAGGGATCGGTCGTATTTAAAATAACATTATTTAAAATATGCATTTTAAATAACAAAAAGTAAAAAAGTTATTTAGTATTTATTATTTTAAATAACTTCTTCTGATCTATTTTATATTTAATATTTTAAATATGTTTTTGGAATCTATTTTATATTTTTCATTTTAAATAAGTCATGTTTCTGGAATTTATTTTATATTTGTTCTTTTAAATAGGTTATATCAGTTACTTTATCGACTTCTGTTTACCAGGGATCGGTTGTATTTAACATAACATTAACAAATTAATAAAACATTATTTAAAATACATATTTTAAATAATGTTTTTTTACGATACGA